CTCCTCAGTAATCCCTCTGCGTGATCATTGGGGAAATTAATACAATTACTGCCACAGAAATTAATATTGATAGCCACCGGGGCCTGTTCCCTCATATCTGAAGTGTATCTGTTGTATTCCCTTTTTGTTCATCACTCTGCACACTTTTTGTCTCCTGTGACACCCATTTCTCTGCTCCCACACAGTTTAATATTCTTAAATTGCACAGAAATACACCTGAATATTTATAACAGATGGCCTGAAGTGTGTTTAATTGCCTCTCAAAAACTACTTTTGCATCTTCATAAGGACACAAACTCGTGTCTCTTTGCAGAAACATAAAGTAAAGGAAAAAAAGAAGGAAGGATAGGATAGGAAAGAGAAAATGTGAAGTGATGCTTTGGAGGAATTCTAGGACAAAAATTGATTTTCTCTAACACTGATAAAGCACAATTTGAGCTAAGTTTTGAATTATGGAAGAAGACGAGGTTGCTTTAAGATTATTCTCTATTTTCCAGCACATCATCCCCTCCTGGAAACCCCATTTTATACCTTAATTGATGTACTCAAAAACCTCAAATTGAAGCTTTGAAATAGTCACACTGTTAGCAGGCAGAAACAAGAACCTGTGGTGGGCCAATCGATACAAACTTCATTACTGGGAAGCCAGGCTAGTAATCTCCTTGGCTGCAGCTGTGAGGGGCATACATTCTAGCACAGCACCTGTTCTCAATGATATATCCAGCCTGCACCTGCAAAGGCATTAAAGCAACACTCGCCACACTGAGCCCTAACACCCTCGTACCATCTTCCCCATCTCTCTCTCCCTCTCTCTCTCTCTCTCTCTCTCTGTGTTGATCAAGAACAAGCTCACAAGGTTTCTGTGTTATTTTAAACTCTGTCCCTGGTACCTTCTCACCACTCTAGATGAGCTTTCTCACATTCATGCCAGGACGCAGCTGACACGAACAGGGGGGGTGAAAAAAAAAAAAATGAGGAGAAAAAAACAGTAGGGGAGAGGAGATGCATGGGAGGTGTGAGGAAGGGGGAAAGGGAAAAAAAAGGAGAACAGTAGCAGTAACAGAGTATTTTTTCAGTTAATAGAAATAGACCTTCAGGGTTCAGAAATTGTGTAGTATAATATTATGTTAGGACAGCTCCATTTTACACTAAAATTGGTTTCATGATGGTGAGCCACGGAGACATTTTTAAGCATTTTTTCCTTTGTACCTCCTCTTCTTTGAGAAAATTGGGTCTCCACAGGGAAAATGACAAATCGCGTACTTATCAGAAATAAGCACTGTTACCAGTTTTCATCCTCAGATTCAGCTCACACATTTGTACTAATCTAATCTTGCTTAAGAACAAAAGGCCAATGAAAATGAAACCATAGACTTCAGCCCAAATTGCATTTTGAACCGAAACAGAAACAGTCCAAAAAGAAAGCTTTCTGGGTCTAGATGAGTAATGTGACACACGGATACTGCACTGTGTGTGACCAGAACACTCCTCATGCTTTTTTAATTTCAGCTCGACCAGTAGATGGCAGTGACAGAGCAAGAACACCCATGGATGACTTCACAGATTAGAGTTAAACCAGTACACACACTCACACCATGGCAGGAAAAGTTCATTATATCTGCACTGAAATGCAGGGAAAAAGCAGTCCTGGTAACATTTTGTCCCATAATGCAGAATGCAACTAGTCACAAATCAAGCCTCCTCTGTCTCCATGACGCTGAGGGATGCAGCCGCAGTTTAGCTCATGCACACCAAAGTGCACCAGGCTAGAAAATATAGTTCCAAGCCATGATAAAGAAAGTGGATGGGTTATTTATCGTCTTATGAGCCCATCTTGATGTGAAAAGTCAATACTTGGACTTTGTCAAGAGAGAATATCTATATGGAAATCGTGCCCATTATGCATCGAGATATTGCAAAGTTAGGCAGAAACAGGAGGACTGAGTGGCATGCTCACTCTCTGCTTTGACTGACATTATATATGAGGATTAAATGAGGTCTCTGCCATGCCGGATAGACTCTGAGCAGTGTGCTGGGTTGAGCTCCATTAAACCCAAATCTGTGTTTGATTTGCAGCAATTATTGTTTTGTGATAAGCGCAGGAAATCCAGGTTTGATTGATTGGATGTCATGAAACAAATATTTCTGGTTTTACTGCATTGATCTGCCAGGATGCAATTCAAAAGAGATTTCATTTTAACTAATAACACAGCCGTGATGGATAGGTCTACAAGTGTATAATACTGTAGAAACTGAGGATTCCAGCTGGCTCAATAACTAACTGCAATGACTGGCTTCTGGTTTTGACATTTTAGAAATTGCAGTCTAAAGAGCACACTTTTTTGGGGCCATTTTGATCATTTGTACTAAATGTCACATACAATAAATCTCATCTCTTGCTTTTTCAATTAAGGGAATAGTGGAGCTCCCTTGTGCTCTGAAGCATTTACATAATTATACTGATGGGCCTGCTGGGAGACGGACCGAGCCAAGTCAAAACAGAGTTACAGGATTCTCATACAGTACAGGATAGCCCTAAAGAAACTGTGATTATAAGTATTCTCAGCTGATTTGTTTTGATCCTTTTTTTGCTTTTTTAAACTATTTTATGTATTTTTCCAGTTGCCTGAATGATATTATTTTTGGAAAAGTACTCCTGTCACAGTTTAGTTCTACAAAAAATGGTCTAGTCCAAATATTTTAACAAAAAGCAAAACGTGACAGTCAAGTAGAGGCAAACATAAGTCATCCCAGTACAGAAGACACTCCAGTCCTACTGGTTAGAAACTATGGATTAGTTTTCAAGCTACTGTATCTCTTCGCACGCTACTTTTGTGCAGTCATATCCATCTTACATAACAAGAATGGAGCTGTCTCGTAGCTATCAAGACAGCTTAGAAGCACTTTGATTAAAAGAAAAGACCAAGGTTAACAGGACATCTGTTAGGAAATCTGCGCACAGATTACCCAGCCTCATCTCCCACAGACTCAGAGCAGTAAATGATGTAATTAAGAACAAAGTAATACTGCCTCTTGTCCTCATCCAACCCTTTGTAATGGTTTATTTTTTGTCTTGCCAAAACAATTAACACTTAACTGTTGCATTAACATTCAGAGCTCATGAGAAAACAGCAATGATTTTGATATCAGGTACTTGACAAGAAGCAGTGTTGGGGGGTTTTTGGTACAAATATTTAAATGAAATAATAAAAAAAGTGGAATAGTTGTTTCATTTGCAGAAAGGTATCTGATGTCCTGCAATTAAAAAATGACTTTCAAGATATATGTTTGATATTCAAACTGATATAAGTACAATATTTCTTCCAATTACTCCCTGCTTTCATTTTAGAGCTGATCATCCTTTAAAAGACACCGGCAATTTGATATTGAAAGGCACCTTTCTAGCAGGAACTAACAGACAAAGGTCATGGTATCAGGTTGACAGACACATGGCTTTACTGGCCTTTATGTTTTAACTCCTTGTAATGCAACTGCTATAGAGTTAATAATGTAACGCCAATGATACCCTTTAACAGATGGCATATTTAAAACAGTACTTTGGCGAGGATACATGTCTTTTGTAATGCAGGACCCTAGTACAGTTAATTTGCGCCATTACATTGTTCCTTATCGTCGGTTTTGACACGTTCAAAGAGCAAAAATCAACATCAGTGCATGCAAGACCGAGACTAAATGTGTAACAGGCACTGCTTTGTCAACAGGTACAACCAAAATCAGCCCAAACAGAAAGTTTCTCACAGGAGCTTGGCCCCGTTGTGTCAAGTTTTTTCTCCAGCTAAATTTCACCGGTCATCAAGAGCCAAACACCTCAGTCTCTAAGCACCTCGAGGCAGCTCTCAAATGACTCTCGTTTCCCTCATCTGCTGCTTTCTCACGCTCCTAAATGTTGACGTTAACAGAAATATTTCTTAGCTTAGCACATACATGAAAAAGACGACACATGCTTGATATTCAGGTGATTAAAATCAACAATTCAGATCTGTCACTGAAAAACACAATTATTAATAAGAAAAGCGTCTCATCAAAACATGAATTTTGTCTTAACATAATCTGACCAAACAAACAGAGCTCAGTCTCCAGCGCTGCCCAGCCACCACTCCCCAGTGATGTGAAATCAGCAAAGGCCTAATGCAGTATGAGACGAAATGAGAGTGTGTGACTGTCTCAATCTGCCCTTTACCAGAGAACTTCAATCACTCAATTTCTCTGAGCAGTATGCTTCCAATCCCCGCAAACAGCTGGCCCGGCATTTAGAACACATGAGGATTAGGGGGTTGATTTAGTTAAAGGCTCAATCCAGAATCAGACCATCGCACCACTTATGATGCCAAGATCACCTCTGTGCTGGCTTTATTCTATTTCCATGCCTTTTCAGTTAATTTCGTAAAGTCTGGACTGGTTGTAGAGTCCATACATTGTCACAATTTCACTGTTATAAAGTACAGGCAATGACTATAAACTCTGCCAAAAAAAAAAAACTGAAGTCACATAAACACAACCTATTAATCTATGTGAACACTGTTTTAAACTGCAATGTTCTGTGCTGTACCAAACAGCACACATCATAATTATATCATTAAACATTCACTTTAATTCATTCTGCACTGGGGTTTTTTCTACAGTATTTTTTTTACTAATACTGGATTAAAGTAATCTCTCCACTGTGGATATTTAACAACTTGCTTAGTCTCTGGTGTCATCATAAGCTCAGTTGGTAATCATATGTTTGTAATCTGCCTCAAGAATACAAGGAATGCGGCTGCCTGTGACAACATGGGTGTGAAAGGAGTGTGCAGGTGTGCGTCTGTGTGCTTTGGTAGCTCACATGAAAAAAAGGAATCTGTGAACTCAAGTAGATTTCCCAGTAGCCATGGGCTCTTATTGGTTAGCATGAGGGACTGATTTGCATACGGTGGGAGTGTCCTGAGCCAGCACTGGGATGAATGACTTGTTCAAGTCAGATAGCAATAAGGCATAGGACTCAGCAGAGGTCTGCGCTGCTCAACTCTCAAAATGCCTGCGTTACTCAGGCTGCTGCTCTTCCTGCTGTAAGTGCTGGACTAGGACATAAACATGTTCAACAGCACACACCTCAGCCTTAGCAAAAGAGGAGGCATCTGGGTAAGTTTGGCAATTATTTACTTCACAGACAGAACTCACCCTTAACTTTAACACAAGGACTTTTTAAATTGTTAAGGCAGAGACATGAGTAGGCCCTTCTTCGGTTTTATTCTCGTATCCTTTTTAAGAGACTAAAGCAACTGGGAAAAAAAAAACTTAAAAACACAAAATCTTTTGTACTGATAGACTGAAGTGTTCATCAAAATGCAAGTAAAGAGCAATGATTCAAGCAGTTCATATCATTGTCAGGATTTTGAAAAACCCTGCAACTGCTCGTATACTAATAGCACTGTAAATACCTCTGTGACGCTAAATATCATTATTACAGCAAATCTGATCCAATTATGTTACTCTTTGATTTAACTTAATCATCTTTAATTATCTTGTATTACAGGGATTTTGCATCCTCTTGCTTTACACCAGCCCTCTCTCCTGTTTTGCAAATTTCAGCCAAGCAAAAGAGCTCATCTATAAGATAAAGGAGGGATTACCGAGAGGGACCTTCATAGGGGCCATTGGAGTAGACCTCAATTTGGATTTTACTGTCGAGCCCCCCTTTATTTTCAATCTGCCACAAAAGAAGGTCAGTGATCAGTATGTGAACCTGAATAATACCACCGGGGAGCTTTACACATCTGCCACTGAAATCGACAGGGAGACGCTCTGTCCTGATAACACTGGGGGAAGGGGATGTCTCCTCTCACTGGACGTGTTTATTTTGCCTCAGCAGTACTTCCAGCTCATCAAAGTTAAGATCTACATCGAGGATGTCAATGACAACAGGCCAAAGTTCCCTGTGGATGAAATCTGTATGTCTATTCCAGAAAACACCCTAATCAATGCTCGTTACGCTGTGGAGCACTCTGCTGTTGATCCAGACTTGGGTCCACATGGAGTGCAGACATACTGGCTTGTTAATGACTTTGGCATGTTCACACTGGATGTTGAAGAGAATGAGGGGGGTGAGCTGACACCCTTCCTTATTGTGACCGAGGCTCTGGACAGAGAAACCCAGGCTGAATACATCACGGATATCATCGCAGAAGATGGAGGGACGCCTCCTCTGCTTGGTGCAGCTACTTTAAAAATTGTAATCACAGATGTGAACGATAACTGCCCCCGATTCACTGAGTCACAAATTAATGTCACTGTACATGGGAATACAACCAAAGGGGCACATTTGGCACGTCTGCATGCTTTTGACCCTGACCTTGGTGCTAATGCTCAGATCAGCTATGCTTACAGTGAACGTGTGCCAAGGGAGACCAGGAGCTTGTTCCATTTGGACAGAGTCACAGGGGTGATCAAGCTAGCGGGGAAAATAGACACTGGCACCAACACGTTTTACAAACTCACTGTTCTGGCCAACGGACCTGGCTGTATCCCCGCTGTTGCCACTGTTTCTGTCAATATCATTAAAGTTGTCACAGGACCCCCTGCGGTCATGCCCAGGTACATCGCACCAGAAAAGGATGGGGTGGTGACAATAAGAGAATCTGAGCCAGCGTTTTCTCCAATAGCTTTTTTTACAGTCAAAAACATTGACACGAACCTAAAGGTGGACTGTCATTTGGAAGGGACTGGTCCATTCAGGCTCGTCCCCTACCAGCTCTTCAAGAACGAATACCTACTGGAGACTACAGAGCCCCTGGATTATGAGAAGACACAAGAGTATGAGCTTATTGTGGTTGCTAAGAATCACAAGGAGCTCGTCATTAAGACCTTTCTGAAGGTCCAGGTGATGGATGAGAATGACAACGCACCAATGTTTCAACAGTCTTTAGTCCATCTAACCCTGGAGGAGAACAACTCACCAAATACCTTTCTCACCCAGCTCCAAGCCTCAGACCCAGACAGCGAAGGCCGTGGTGAAGTCATCTACCTCCTTGGAGGTGACGCCCCAGGGATCTTTGTCGTTGATCGCGTGACTGGTGTCCTGACTGTGACCACATCTCTGGACCGTGAGGAGAAAGAGACATACCGGTTCATTGTGAGAGCTGTGGATCAAGGTATACCAAGGAGGGAGTCTATTGCAACTGTCGTGTTGACTGTGGAAGATCGTAATGACAACAGTCCACGCTTTATCAACAAGGACTTCACGTTCTTTGTGCCAGAGAACTTCCCGGGGTACGGTGAGATTGGGGTCCTCTCAGTGACAGATGCTGATGCTGGGGAGAACGGTTGGGTGGCTCTTTCAATCCTAAATGGCAGCGACATCTTTATGATAGACACAGGCCGAGGGGCACTGAGGGCAAAGACTCCTTTAGACCGTGAGCAACAAGGGACATACCAGCTGTGGATTGAGGCAATCGATGGTGGGGAGCCGGCACTTTCTAGTGTCACAATGGTGACCGTTCTATTGTTGGATGTAAATGACAACCCGCCTATTGTCCTCTTTCCCCAGTCTAATCAGTCCTACATGCTGGTGCTTCCAAATACAGTTCCAGGAACATCAATCACAGAGGTCTACGCTGTGGATAAAGATACAGGAATGAATGCTGTGATCGCTTACAGCATCATCAAGAGGAAAGGTGGCGAACCAGGGTCATTTGCCATTGACCCCGAAACAGGAAATATCACATTAAAGAGGGAGCTAAGCAACCGGGGTCTTTACAGCCTTCTGGTGAAGGTTAGTGATCATGGTCAGCCTGAGCCCCTTTACTCGACAGTCATGGTTAACTTTTTTGTCAATGAAACTGTGAGCAACGAGAGCTACATCCAGAGTCTTCTGACCAGAGGGGCTGATATAGAGGTAGAGGAGAGGCCGTGGTATGTTGGGCAGATGAAAGAAGGGCCTGAGAGGTATGAGCTGTTTCCTTGTCAGCCTGTCCTCATTGCTCTGTCAGTGACATGTCTGGGGCTTTTCTTCTCCGTTGTCACGTTGACATCTTACATATGTTGTAAGAGATTTAAAAAGCAGCGAAAGAAAAGATCTGAAGTGGAAGTACCTTTAAAAATGAAGAATGACTCAACACAGGTTGTGAACAAGAGACTCAGGCAGATCTCAAATATATGATTTTTCAGCTGTCCACAAATCCAAAACCATCACTGTGTTTACATGAATGTTTACAAAACTTACTGTGAGATGTGTAATTCTTACATGAAGTTGCTTTTTCTGCCTTTGTCATTTGATTGCTATTACTGCTATACATTATCATTTTGCATTCAGGAGGGGCAAACAGAAGCATTTTTTTGTCTACTTTTTACATTTATAAAACATTACCTAAAGCTCCTGTGAGGAGTTCTGAACTGGTTATGATACGGGCTGAATTCAATTTTAATGCCTCTTTGTGTCCTACACAAGCAAAGACAACCATGACATGAAGACTGATTATTTGTATTAAGTTATTTTATATGTATAAGAATGCTGAAGTCTGTCGGTTTTAGACTCAGTGATTAACTGCATGGCCTTTTTTTATATTTTCCAATGACACCATTCTTGATAAGTGATGCATTTATTTGACTGTTAAAATTAAGCATAATGATAAGACTACTTGCACATGTACAGATCCAAATAAGCAAAAAGATAAAATCTCTGTTCATGGGGCAATGCCAAAATTTAAACAAACATAAAATTCCTTGCAGGAGCTTTAATTAGATGTCAAGTATCTGTAAACCAAAGTTCAAAATTATTATTGATGTGTCAAAGTAGTAACAGCTTTATAACAAAGTCCTAAAAGCAACTCATTGAGAGTTACTTCATCTAAGGTCCTTGTAAATACTGTATAAATGTTTTACAACTTTATATAAAACTTGCACAGAAAGAAAACAAGCAGTTTAAGACACAACAAAAGTTTCAACCTTGAATATATTTTGTAGAAAATTTGCATCTCTTTACAATATCTGCCAGAATAGCAAAGATCACAGAAAAGTGATCATCTAGAATCTAAATCTGTCTATATTTCAAGTATATTTTTCGCTATATTTACAAAGTAACCACACATGTCAAAGGGCTTATTGAAATGTAGTACATTATTTAAAGCATTGTCAAATTGTCATATTTAGCGAGTTCACAGTGTCAATACCCATTCAGTTCTGTTATTGTGTCGTTGGTTTGCACAAACGCCTTGTGTTCTGTATGAGGGGCATGACAATCCATTTTATGAAATTGAAAACTGATGACTCGTCTTTCAGATCTTAACCTCAAGTCCACTTTATGTTTGCTTCAGAGCTTTCAGCTGCCTCCCACAGTCTTTTGTAGCCCTTTTAGAATAACAGCGACTCTGAGTGATGACGTTCAAAGTCTTTGCATGATGTCTGACATCCACGTGTAGTATCCAAGTGTCCTGCTTTCTGTGAATGCTTACAGCAGTCAATGTGAAGCTTTCAAGGCTGTTTTGGTAAAGCAAAAGGCTTTTTTTTTTACTCTTGACAACTAAAATTTTGTTCAAACATCCTTGGCATAGAACTGCTTTTCAATATTACCCTCCTTTCAGCAATCTAGCAATTCTCAATGTGTCTGTGAAAACTTGCAAAGTGTTTGTGAAAGAAAACTGAAGTAACTATTAAAGATGTTCTATTTTTGTAAGATATTGGATTTTCTCCTGTTTAAGTATAACCTTATGTTTGTGTGTATAATATTTGTTCTGTTTAGTTAGGATTAAAGGGGATCAATTCCATTTATCATCCTTAGATGAAGTACTGTATAAGGTTGTTAAATGCTGAATCAAACACTAGGCAACAGCTAAACATAGTGTGTAGATCTTTTAAAGTAGATGAGGTTTCATTTTTATTAAGTGCAGCCATAAAACAAACTATGCAGACTTAAAATGACAAACCTAGAAAAGCAGATTTTTCATATATTGCTCAAAACTTTACATTAACGCATCCGAATATACTCTAAATGTGCTGTATATGGCCAAAGTGACGGTGATTCACTGCTTGAAACAAAAATTAGAATCACTCACTCCCTCTCTCTTTCTCTTGTATGAATAATTAAGTACATTATTAGTCAAATAGCGCCCAGTTTAGATTGCATCCTCTTATGACGCGATTTGATCAGGTGTGCAAATTAAACAGCTGCACTGTACATCAGAGAGAGATGAAAGAGTTACAGATGAAAAAGCTTGTGGTGTTGTTTTGATCGCCCACACAGGTCAGAGCTGGTGAGGTAACACCTGAGAGTCACACTTAGAAAGAAAAACACAGCGCTGACTTGGAGCTACAGCTGCTCCCGTCTAGAACATTTGAGGATCAATCAATTTGGTTCAAGTGACATCTCTCACCTTTCTTGAGTGTTATCAGCAATCACTGCGCTCCCTCTAGTACTGTCACAACATTGCAAAATACCACCTAAGAAATGGTAAGAGGAGTTTTTGAATTTGAGTTTTCCCTTTACTAAATGAAACCATGGTGCCTTTTGCTTTACAAATCTGGTGTTGCTTTGCCCAAAGCTGGAATGTATGTTCAATATAAAGGTTGTATAGACAGAAAGCCCTAAGTGATCTTGGTTTTCTCGCTAACTATGCACACTCCTACACTAGGAACTTAGTCGTATTATGTGTCCTTATAAACCTGTTCGGGTTAGGTTCTTGCGAAACTGGAAGCATGTAAACAAACCTGCTGAGAGTGTATTCATACACGCGTCTCGAGTTATAATCGGCATTCCAGGATGGGAGGCTGTCATGTAAGCACAGAGCACATCGGGGCCTAAAAACAGCTCAGTGTAATCCTCGATAATCACCGCTGGCCAAACAGTGCATTACACAAATACACAGGAAGGAGATAATCATACACATACTGTATATACTGACAGGAACAGGAGTTAATTCAGTGTTAATGACCTCAAGTTGACACATTTCAGCTGCCTAATATAACTGTAGAAATGTCACTGGCTTGTGTTGTTAATTCAGGGTTTCTACCAGAAATGACTTTGAAGAACAGTCAGCCCTGCAATGTGGTTAACATCTTGAGAAGTTCAAAAGGGCTCTGTTCTGTCAAGTTGTCTGAGATCAATAAGAGAAGCCATGTAAGAATTCTCATGCCCACAATATGTGTGTTTGTGTGTGTGAAAGACAGAGAGCAGAGGGGGAGAGACAGTAAGAAGTGGATGCCTGTACTAACAAGTTCAGTGAGCAGGAATAAGTTCAGTAAGCTGGCCCCTGTCTGGATCTCTATATTCATCTCATGCCTGAAAGACACTTCAATCTAACTTTTAATTTAAGAGCATAAAGACATACAAGTGCCATGTTGGAGCAAGAAGTACAGTTACAGAAATATTTCTTAATACATCTCCATCTGTAATAGCTTATATTAGACACAGTCCTTTTTTCTTGTTAGATACATTTCTGCAATCAATCAAACATGAACCAAAAAAATATGCAGTTCAGAAAATAGCACATAGGATGGTTTTTCAGCTTATATGGGACAAGGTTCAAAGACTGCACCCTTGTTCAGAAGCCAGGTACTATGTCACGATCCGACCTCTCCATATATCAAGCTTAATCAATACTGAATCAATAACGTGGTGGTGCATTCCCTATATCTGCCAACCATAAAACACTCAGCTGACCGGGCAACGGCTGTACGCCGCCAAGCGACACAGAATTTAAGACGCTTTCCGTAGACTTTCACATTGAATTTTTTCTCCCATGCAAACAATAAGAGCGTAAGATTAATTGCAATAATAACAGTGTAGGTTTCATTACACTGTATCGCCTCTCTGTTTTATTCTTTCTCACTCTTTTCAGTGAGTCATTTCCCTCTGCTTGTTCTGACAGGAAACATACACCAATCGAACAGGCTATTTAGGCTTATTATGGCTTACACCCAACTGTTATGATGATAAAGTGCACTCCTATGTGCAATAACAAACGCCGGCTCTGATTGATAAAGGGTACAGTTTGATCATGACACCACACTGTGCAGTGGCTGGCTGCGCATATGTGCTTTAACAAAGCAATGCAATCTCAAACCCAACTGAGATGAAATAAGCCGTTTGTGCTTGCTCAATAGTTGGCTGATTTTAAACATAAGTTGGTGCAATGTGGTAGAAAAATGCTGTACATTCGCATAAATATCAGTACAATAAAGTTAAACGCCCACATGTGACAGATGGCATCTTGAAGCATGCTGGGATTTGAAGTGCTTAGATGAAGTTTTGAGAACCAGTTTTATGCCTGACCAGTACAGACAATACCCAGAAAGAAGGGCCAAAGGCTGATGGTGCTAGCTCTGATATTGTTAGCCATAACAGCAAATCAATATGACATGGTTCACCTGCAGACTGTCTGATCCCGCTGTTCACTGAACTGTGCTGTTTTCTGAGAGTTTTCTAACCTTTTGACTTGTTGGTTTGACAGTTAATCTTGAAAATTCCTGTCAAAACATCAAAAAATCAGATACAATCCAACTTTGTCAAGAAATTTGAGTCGCGACAAAGATGCCTTTAAGTGACGTTAAATGTTCCAGGTTTGTTAATGCTTCTGTATTTGAGAAAATAAACTGTACAGTTGTTCAAATCCTATCCAAACAGTAAGTTTTGACTCCTTATCAGGTTTTTGCCTCATGTTTGTGTGTTATGTTGCACCAGAGAGTCCAGCCTTGCCCCCTACCGCTAACACATTTCACCGCTCATATAATGTAAATGAATATGTTGGAATAAGTGCATTGTTGACATCCCTTTGAGGGTGACTTTCGACTAAAATGTCATTTAAGAGTCAGTCTTAAGGGACCAGAACAGGCAGAACTACAATCCAAGCATATTTTAAAAACAAACCCCATAAATCAGCACTTTCTCACAGAGTGTCTGGGCTGTATTTAGTCTTGTTGAAAAGGACTTTAGATCATCATTGGCTGTTGCAAACAATCAAAATACAGACATGTTAATGTTAACTCTCTTAGCATTTAAAACAAAAGGAAGCGTTTCAGTGTTGAGCATTTGGTGAACTCTGAAGACAGTCACAGGTCCAAAAATATCCAGATAGATTGCAATTATGTAGAATGTAGTAGAATAGTTTTGTAGGTAGTGCACTCAAATGGTTATAAACAAAAAAAAATGATAAATTAAGAAAACAACCTTGGACCTTGATTTGTGACCTCAGCAAACCATGAAACTCTTGACCAAATTTAGACTAAGCGATCAGTCAGATGTTGAAATACTCGAGCTGATGACAGGTTGAAAATTACAACTTTTTTTCATTGAGGGGGCGTGTGTCTTCTGTTAACAATTGATGTTTCATTGCAGGCCTGTCCAAACTAAAGAGTGAAGTATTGGCAAGCATAAGTTGTGTCAAACCCAGGACCTCCTCATCTTTGCGGATGCTGCATAGATTTAACTGGGGAAATGCAAATCCACTGCTTACGTCAAAACCAATGCAATTTGAATAGCATTTGGTAAGTCAAGACATTACTGTCGAGAATCAGGCTTTACCATCTTTACAGCCCTCTGGCCGACGTGATCTCCATAGACCTTTAACCCGGACGTTAATTGTTTTTAACCCTCAGTGGTGTCATTTTGTCATCCCTGTTTGTAGCTCTGTGTTTAACATTGCTTGAAACAGCTGGGAGGGGGGTCTCTGAGGCTGAGACAGTCCACAGCTTTTCTACATGACTGATCACCTCCTGTTGCAGTAATCCTGCTGGCAGCCAGTCTGGCTTCTTCCAAACTGTATAGCACAACTGGACAGTGTAAGAATGACTTAGCTTAAATCAGGTTCTTGAACTCTTTCAGACCGAAAGGATTAGGGATGTGTAATTCGAACTATATGTAGGTTATTAAAGAGTGGAGGCTTAAAGACCATAAAAGCACCAGAGGCTGCACACATTTCTTGGTAAGACAAGCTTCCAAGTGTTTTTTCTTTATCTTTTGTACAACTTCCTGATGAAAAATGTTGTGATACAGACAGCCAACAGACTCAGTTGAACCTGCTCCCCTGCAAAGTACCTTTCTTTCTCTCCCTCTGCAGGAAAGTCTATCTGAAATTACATTAAATTCTTAATGGTGTAGACAGCCAGTAATTACCATCAGTCAAAGCCTGATCCCATTTCCAGATTGGCTTTATTGTAATGTCCCTGCCTTGAAATCAAACAAATAAAGACACAATGAAAGGCCCAGGTCGGGTTACGCAGTTCTGCTGAATAGAGGGAGGCTCCATTTCCCCAGTTATGACACCAAATACGATTTCCCCCCTCCCCCATCCCTCACCCCCTGCACAAACACTTTGTTCACCATCTTTAATAATGCATCTCCATATTTTCCTGCTGAAAATCACTGCCTTTGATCTAAAACATCTTTCATTTGCTGTGATGCAACAAAATATAATCCAATGGCACTCTTTTGATCGTGTTGTGGATTACATTACTAATTTGCTTTTGTCCTCTGTCTCTGTTTTTCCCTCCGTTTCATCCAGTTTCATCTCAGCGAAACACAGACAGGCATCCAGGGGATTAACATCAGCCATGTATTTATGAACATCTTATTTTTCAGCTGCTTCACATTCACGAGTATCTCTTCCTGA